GTAAATTGAGGACTACCTGGATTGCTCGCTGGCCAAGTATCTCCGCTGCTGTGTATGTTTAATCTGGGATTGTCCATTCATTTTATTCTTTTAAAATGGTTTTTTTTTAGCATTTTAATGGTGATTTTGTTTTTCATATGCGTGAATCGTAAGCTGACCAGAGTCACTGACTGAGATGGGTGGCTATAGAAAAGGAAGGAAAGAGAAGGAAGGAAGGAAGGAAGGAAGGAAGGAAGGAAGGAAGGAAGGAAGGAAGGAAGGAAGGAAGGAAGGAAGGAAAGAGAAGAAAGGAAGGAAGAAAGGATAGAGATGGAAGAACGAAGGAAGGAAGGAAGGAAGGAAGGAAGGGATAGAGATGGAAGAACAAAGAAGGAAGGAAAGAGAAGGAAGAAGGAAGGAAGAAAGGATAGAGATGGAAGAACAAAGGAAGGAAGGAAGGTTGGAAGGAAGGAAGGGAGGGAGGGAGGGAGGGAGGGATAGAGATGGAAGAACAAAGAAGGAAGGAAGGAAGGGATAGAGATGGAAGAACAAAGAAGGAAGGAAGGAAGGATAGAGATGGAAGAACAAAGAAGGAAGGAAAGAGAAGGAAGAAGGAAGGAAGAAAGGAAGGAAGGAAGAAGGAAGAAAGGATAGAGATGTAAGAACAAAGCAAGGAAGGTAGAAAGGAAGGAAGGAAGGAAGGATAGAGATGGAAGAACAGAGAAGGAAGGAAGGAAGGAAGGAAGGAAGGAAGGAAGGAAGGAAGGAAGGATAGAGATGGAAGAAGGAAGGAAGGAAGGAAGGAAGGAAAACAAAAGGAACTGACATTGCCCTTGGAGGGAGTGCTAGAAGGGGGGGGGGTTGTGGAGGAGGAGGAGGAGGAGGACTGTGAGGTCCTTGCTGCTCTCTGAGCTGGGTGGTTTCCTTGCAGACGTGATACTATGAATTATACAATTTCTTTAATCAGATCTCTACCCTGGTTATTAGGTGGAAGTTTCATCCCAATAAGAGGCAACTTACTGGAGGGACATTACTGTACCGTGGGTAAACTTTTGTTTTATTTTACGCCTTAGAGAATGGCAGGTGAGAAAGGTTTCCTGCCAGCAAAACTTTATGATTAGCCCAGTTCTTAAACGCTTCTTTAATTGTCACCCCCCCAAGTTTTTCAGTTTTACCTCCAGATGTTCCTTTTCTCCGGAGCAGGAAAGCTGCTGTCTCTTCATTTGTTCTATCATCCGCCTGTCTTCTTCGGTCAGTTCAGGGATGAAGTACTGAGGCTGAGTGGCCAGTTTTAGTTTCACCCAGGCTGCGGGAGGGAGAGAGAGAAAGGGAAAGAGAGAGCGGGAAAAGGGGGAGAGAGAACAGAGAGGAAGACAGGGAGAAAGAGGGAGAGGGAGGAAGAGATGGAGACAGGGAGAGAGGGAGAGAGGGAGAGAGGAAGAGAGAGAGAGGGAGGGAGAGAGGGAGAGATGGAGACAAGGAGAGAGGGAGGGAGGGAGAGAGTAAGACAGGGAGAGAGGGAAAGGAAGAGAGAGAGGGAGGGAGGCAGAGATGGAGACAGGGAGGAAGACCGAGAGAGAGTAAGACAGGGAGAGAGGGAGAGAAAGAGAGAGAGGGAGGGAGGCAGAGATGGAGACAGGGAGAGAGGGAGGGAGGGAGTAAGAGAGGGAGAGAGGGAGAGAAAGAGAGAGAGAGAGGGAGGAAGAGATGGAGACAGGGAGAGAGGGAGGGAGGGAGTAAGAGAGGGAGAGAGGGAGAGAAAGAGAGAGAGAGAGGGAGGGAGGCAGAGATGGAGACAGGGAGAGAGGGAGGGAGGGAGTAAGAGAGGGAGAGAGGGAAAGAAAGAGAGAGAGAGAGGGAGGAAGAGATGGAGACAGGGAGAGAGGGAGGGAGGAAGAGATGGAGACAGGGAGAGAGGAAGACCGAGAGAGAATAAGACAAGGAGAGAGAGAGGGAGGGAGGAAGAGATGGAGACAGGGAGGGAGGAAGACAGGGAGAGAGGGAGAGGAAGAGAGAGGGAGGGAGACAGGGAGGGAGGAAGAGATAGAGACAGGGAAAGAGGGACACCGAGAGAGAGAGGGAGGGAGGGAGTAATACAGGGAGAGAGGGAGAGGAAGAGAGGGAGGGAGAGAAAGAGGGAGGGAGGGAGTGGAAGACAGAGAGAAAGGGAGCGGGAAAGAGAGACAGAGATCAGGAAAGAGAGAGAGGAAGACAAGAAGAGACAGGAAGAGGGAGAGGAAGAAAGAGAGGGAGAGGGTGAGAGAGAAAAGGAGGGAGGGGAAGAGAGAGGGAGAGAGGGAGGGAGAAAGAGATAGAGACAGGGAGAGAGGAAGACGAAGAGAGAGAGGAAGAGAGTAATACAGGGAAAGAGGGAGAGGGAGAGGAAGAGGGAGAGAGGGAGAGGGAAAGAGAGAGACAAAGATAGGGAAAGAGGGAAAGAGAGTAAGACAAGAAGATACAAGGAGAGGGAGGGAGAGGAAGAAAGAAAGGAAGAGGTTGAGAGAGAAAAGGAGGGAGGGGAAGAGAGAGGGAGGGAGGGAGTCAGGGAGAGAGGAAAACGGAGAGAGGGAGGGAGAAAGATGGAGAGGGAGTGGAAGACAAGAAAGGGAGAGGGAAAGAGAGACAGAGATAGTGAAAAAGGGAAAGAGAGAGAGTAAGACAAGAAGAGACAGGGAGAGGGAGGGAGAGGAAGAAAGAGAGGAGGAGAGAGAAAAGGAGAAGAAGACAGGGAGTGTGAGAGAGAAAAGGAGGGAGGGCAAGAGAGAGGGAAAAACAATTTTTACCTCACAAAGAGTAAGACGCCTCCCGCCATAGGCGTTTTCTATGGACTTTTACGACCGTTTTAAAATTCTCACCGGCCACAAACATCTGCGATTTTTGCGCATTTACAGGTAATCCTCGGCTGATGACAACCGGGGCCGGCATTTCCATTGCTAAGCGAGGCCGTTGTTAAGCGAGGCACACCCCGTTTTATGACCGTTTTGCCGGGGTGGTTAAGCAAATCCCTGCAGCTGTTAAGTCAAGGGGGGGTCATTAAGCGAAACGGGCTTCTCCTATCGAGGTGGGCCGGTTACTCACTTAACAGCTGCCGCCATCTCTTTAGCAAGGGTGGCCAGAAAGGTGGTGAAACGGGGGGCAAAGCTTGCCCTAACCACTGTCTCGCTTAGCAACGGAAATTTGGGGCACAGTTGTGGTCGTAAAGCCGAGGACTATCGGTGTAGGAACAGCTAGAGCAGGCCTGATCTGAGGAAATCAGTTATGTTTTGTAAACAGATGACTAATGATTGAAAATATCAATTATGCAATCCTCTGAAGTAGCACTTGGCATTCCCTGGTGACATAATTGTCCTCAGCAACACACAAGTCTTTCCACTGAAGCTCGGCAAATGCTTTCTCTCCTTGGTTCCCAAAAGCAATGAAAGAAAGAAAGAAAAAAAGAAAGAAAGGAAGGAAGGAAGGAAGGAAGGAAGGAGAGAGGGAGAAGAGAAAGAGAAAGAGAAAGAAAGAAAGAAAGGAAGGAAGGAAGGAAGGAAGGAAGGAAGGAAGGAAGGAAGGAAGGAAGGAGAGAGAGAGAAAGAAAGAAAGGAAGGAAGGAAGAAAGGAAGGAAGGGAAGCAAAGAGAAAGAAAGAAAAGAAAGAAAGAAAGGAAGAAAGGGAAGGAAAGAGAAAGAAAGAAAGAAAGAAAGAAAGAAAGAAAGAAAGAAAGAAAGAAAGAAAGAAAGAAAGAAAAGGAAAGAAGAATCTGGCATGGCCAGGTTGGACCCAATTAAACATGTTCAAGGAATGCTAAGACTCTGAGTTCTAGTCCTGCCTCGGGCACAAAAGCTGGCTAGCTGACCTTGGGTCAATTGCCAGGAGACGGTGAGTTCTAATCTTCCCTTAGCCATGAAAGCTGGCTGGGTGACTTTGAGCCAATCACCAGGAAACGGTGAGTTCTAGTCCCGCCTTAGAAATGAAAGCCGGCTGGGTGACTTTGGCCCAATCACCGGGAGACGGTGAATTCTAGTCCCGCCTTAGTCATGAAAGCTGGCTGGGTGACTTTGGGCCAATCATCGGGAGACGGTGAGTTCTAGTCCTGCCTTAGACATGAGAGTCAGCTGAATGACTTTGGGCCATTCCCTCTCTCTGAGCCCAACCCACCTCTCAGGGTTGTCGTTGTGGGCAAAATAGGAGGAGGAAGGTGTGTTGGATCTCTTCACCGCCTTCAGATATTTGTAAAAAATAAATAAATAAAAGTGAGATAAAAATCAAATCAAACAAAGAAAAGGTTGGCATGTAAAGGTAATCAATTCATCACAAATCGTGGAGGTTTTCGGAGGTTCCCTTACTTACCACGGGCTTTTTCCTCTTCTTCCTTTACACTCTGGAGTATCTGTGTGGCGTGCAGCACGGGCTGCTCTTCTTCCAGGAGGGTTTTGACCCGTACCGCCAACGAGTCCATACTGCTGCCATTATCGCTTCCTTGGGCACCAACTTCCCCTCGGCTGAAAGCTGAGCTGGTGGCCGAAACGCAGGGCTCTTTCGGACCCGACCCCTCGCGCTCCTCCGCCCTCTCCATCCAAGGCGCTTTGTGGATCGCCAGAGGTTCGTACTGGAGAAGCTTCTTCACTCTAGTGCCCAGGGAGTCCACGCTGCTGCCGTTGGCGCTTTCGTGCCAGCTGCCTACCTCTTTCGGGCGAGCGTCATTCGCTTTCTTCTCGACGTGCGGAAAACCTCCCAAGAGCTTAGACACCTCGTCCAGAGTATCCGCTTTCTCCTCGACGCACGGAAAACCTCCCAAGAGCTTAGACACCTGGTCCAGAGTATCCGCTTCTGAAACAGCCTGGATCGCGTTGAGGTTTGGAGAAAGGCCGGCTTGAATGTCTACAGACCTGCTCGTCAGAACAGGCCCACTCGCAGCTGTCCTGGGGCAGCCTTCAGGATCGGATCGTGTTAGGGGTTTAGTCATCCCGCGATCTTCGTTCGCTTTTGGGGATTCTGGCCTCGGCTCTTGAGGTACAAGTGGCTCCTTGTTGTAGAAGTCCATTGTCTGCGGACCTTCCCATCTTAAGTTACCCGCGATACCCTGCTTGGCCATGTTCTCATCCCACGACCAGCCTCTCTGAATCCCTAGCGTGTTTCTCTTGATCGATCCGCAACCTCCAGATAAATCGCCATTATCGATATGTTTTAGTGAGCCGGAAGAAGAGAGGGATAAAAGAGATCGGAATTGTCCACTTGAAGGTCTGGAGTCGACCTCTGCCGGGAGCTTCTGGCTCTCTCCGGGGGCCTTTGACCCCGCAAAGGAATCGTTTCTTCCTCCGCCGGGACTCGCACTGGAAGATCCGATTTCTTCCCTCGCCGGCTTTTCGTCCCTGTCCCAAGAAGAAGGGCTGGCTCTTACTCGACTCGCCCCAAGTTCATTTGGGTCTAAATTGTCCACAATTGTTGTTGATCTTTCCTTCGCAAAGTTGGAGGGAGCTCCTGGGAGGACTTGAGTCTCTCCTGTGGAAACGGGAACGGAGGGAGACCCGGGAAGAGACGCAGCGAGAGGAGGCGTGACCGCACGAGATTTCCATGGAGAGCTGCTCGGATGTACGAGATCTCGGTTGCGTTGCAGAGAAGACTTGGCGGGTTGCGAAGTGTCTGAGACAACGGCGGATCCTGCCCCAGAAGGCCCACTGAGCAGAGAAGAATTCAGGCTACACCGTGTAGCCTCTTTCCCAGACTGCGAGTCTTTGGAAAGAAAAGGAAGAAGATCGTCTGATTAAGGTCGATTCCCGTAAAGTGGTGGTCAGACAACGAAACAAATACGGTACAATATGACCGAGTTATTCGAGAAGAAGAAATAATTTCAGACAACCAGCAGACAGGAGGATCACGCCCTAGTAGAGGCAGTCCTCCACTTACAACCATTCGTATAGTGACTATGTGTTGAACGACCTTTCGGAGTTACAACGGCACTGAAAAAGGTGACTTATCACCGTTTTTCACCCTTACGACCATTGCAGCCTCCCCGTGGTCACGTGATCAAAATTTGGACGCTTGGCAACTGACTCCTATTTATGACGGTCGCAGCGTCCCGGGGATCACGTGATTCCCCCTTTTGAGACCTTCTGATGAGCAGAGTTGATCGGGAAGTCAGGTTCACTTAACAGCCATGTTACTAATTTGACAACTGCAGTGATTTGCTTAGCAACTGGGGGAAGAAAGGTCGTAAAGCGGGGCAAAAAATTCACTTAAAGACTGTCGTGCTTAGCAACAAATTCAGGGCTCAATGGTGGTCATAAGTAGAGGACTACCTGATATATGTTATCAGCAAACTTAGTATACAGCAGGGGTAGGCAACCTTGGCTCTTTTATGACTGGTAGACTTCAACTCCCAGAATTCCTGAGCCAGCCATGCTGAGGGGAATGGGAGGTTCAGGAATTCTGGGAGTTGAAGTCCACGAGTCATAAAAGAGCCAAGGTTGCCTACCTCTGGCCTAGGCCTAGGCCGCTTTATGACTGGTGGACTTCAACTCCCAGAATTCCTGAGCCAGCCTGGCTCAGCTTGGAAACCTCTCCCTTTCCCCTCAGCATGGCTGGCTCAGGAATTCTGGGAGTTGAAGTCCACCAGTCATAAAAGAGCCAAGGTTGCCTACCCCTGGCCTAGCCTGTGACTGAGCAGCAGGTCAAAGAGGCTCTCTGCAGGTGGGGTAATGCCTAATCCAGGGATAGGCGACCTTGGCTGGAGAACTGGAGGGAAAGCCTGCATTTCAAACTAATTGGAGAATGTGATTTAGGACAGTTAATTGGAGGAGGGAATTGTGCCTTAATACTATGTGCTCAGAGGAGGGGAATCCAGTTTTTGGCTTTGACTGTGTACGTGCGGATGCTATGCTGCTCGAATAAAGATTCTTTAAGGTAAACAACGCCTCAAAGTTCTTTAAAGATTTTTTCCTCTGTCGGAACCATGACACATTCATTCATGCATGCATTCATTTCCTTGTTCCCTTCCGGGAGGAAGGGGGCTCCATGGTATCCGTAGCAGAACATCCAGATTCAGCCATGGTTTCATTCCATACAGCATTAACCTTGTGAACTCTCAAGCTTCCTCCTTCTGTTATACATTCAAGATGGACAGTATTTATTTGCTACGTATATGTAGGGGTGTGGGTCTATACATACGTCATACGCAGTATGTTTTAGGTGTGTGTCATATAGGTGTTTCACTTTAAGAGTGGGTAACTAAATTTCATTTTTGATGTGTGCTGTTGTGCCCATAGTAAAAAAATGACAATAAAGGTTTTATCTTATCTTATCTTATATCTTATCTTTATATCTTATATCTTCTTATACTGTACCTTCTTATATCATATCTTATCTTATATCTTATCTTACAGTATATCTCATCTTATATCTTATATCATAGCATAGCATCTTATCTTATATCTTATCATTTTATCTTATATCTTCTTTTATCTTATATATCTTATATCTTATCTTATACTTTATACCTTATTGTATCTTATCTTATATCTTATCTTTATATCTTATATCTTCTTATATCTTATCTTATATCACATCTTATATCTTGTATCTTACCTTATATCTTATACCTTATATCTTATATCATAGCATAGCATCTTATCTTACATCTTATCTTATCTTAATATCTTATATCTTCTTATACCTTATCTTATATCTTATATATCTTATATCTTATCTTATGGTATACTTTATACCGGGGGTAGGCAACCTTGGCTCTTTTATGACTCATGGACTTCCAGAATTCCTGAGCCAGCCTGGCTCAGCTTGGAAACTCTCCCTTTCCCCTCAGCATGGCTGGTTTAGGAATTCTGGGAGTTGAAGTCCACGAGTCATAAAAGAGCCAAGGTTGCCTACCCCTGCCTTATACCTTATACTTTATACCTTATCTTATCTTATCTTATCATCTTATCTTATCATCTTATCTTACCTATCTTATATAATATCTTATCTTTCATTCTGTTTTATGGGTGCCCAACTCAAGCAACCCACCTGCGCTGCCAGACCCACCTAATCCCCCCCAGGTGATGCCCAAGAGCTTCCCCCACCGTACCTTCCGATAAATGCAGGCGGAATAAATCGGCCGACGCTTTCAACGTCCGGAGCTCAGTCGGAGAAAATTCGATTTCTCGGATGGGCCCCCGGGGCATAAATGGGGTCAGGATAGACGAGGGCGACTGGTCGATGCCCAGGTTGTGAAGGTACACCTGAGAGAAGAAAGACAGGAAGAGAGTGAAGAGGCGGAAAAAGCGAGATGAGCAGGCCGGGCCGGGCCGAGGTGGCGCAGCAGTTCGAGTGCAGTACTGCAGGCCACTTTAGCTGACTGTGTTCAGCAGGTCAGCGGTTCAAATCTCACCGGCTCCAGGTTGACTCAGCCTTCCATCCTTCCGGGGTAGGTAAAATGAGGACCCAGATTGTTGGGGGCAATGTAAATATATATATACATTGCTTACTGGTGCACACCGCTTAGAGAGTGCTTGCACTTAAAAAAGCGGTATATAAGTCTCATAAATAAAATAAAATAAACGCTCATTTCGGAATTAAAGTCTTTTTCCAAGAAGGACAACAAGGAAACAAAAGATGCAGACGAAAATAATTCTCTCCGTAAGTCACTGCCGGAAGCCACAGGGAACGCTTAAAGAGGATTTGGACTAAGGGCGGTGCTCGACTTACGACCGTAATTCCCGTTGCTAAGCGAGACAGTTTGGATGTGAGGTTTGGGACCATTTTGCGGCCCTTCCTGTCAGGGTTTTTAAGTGAATCACTGCCGTTGTTAAGTTAGTAACGGGTCGTTAAGTGACTCTGGCTTCCCCACTGGCTTTGCAAGAAGGTTGCAAAAGAGGATTGCGTGAGACGGTGAGTTTTAGTCCCGCCTTAGGCATGAAAGCCAGCTGGGTGACTTTGGGCCAATCACCAGGAGACGGTGGGTTCTAGTCCCGCCTTAGTCATGAAAACTGGCTGGGTGACTGTGGGCCAATCATAAAGGAGATGGTGAGTTCTAGTCCCGCCTTAGGCATGAAAGCCAGTTGGGTGACTTTGGGCCAATCACCAGGAGACGGTGAGTTCTAGTCCCGCCTTAGTCATGAAAACTGGCTGGGTGACTGTGGGCCAATCATAAAGGAGATGGTGAGTTCTAGTCCCGCCTTAGGCATGAAAGCCAGTTGGGTGACTTCGGGCCAATCACCAGGATACGGTGAGTTCTAGTCCCGCCTTAGTCATGAAAACTGGCTGGGTGACTGTGGACCAATCATACAGGAGATGGTGAGTTCTAGTCCCGCCTTAGGCATGAAAGCCGGCTGGGTGACTTTGGGCCAATCACCAGGAATAGGGTGAATTCTAGTCCCGCCTTAGCCATGAAAACTGGCTGGGTGACTGTGGGCCAATCACCAGGAGATGGTGAGTTCTAGTCCCGCCTTAGGCATAAAAGCTAGCTCAGTGATTGGACCAATCATCAGGAGGCGGTGAGTTCTAGTCCCGCCTTAGGCATGAAAGCCAGCTGGCTAACTCTGGGCCAATCACCAGGAGTCGGTGAGTTCTAGTCCCGCCTTAGTCATGAAAGCCAGCTGGGTGACTTTGGGCCAATCACCAGGAAACGGTGAGTTCTAGTCCTGCCTTAGCCCTTAATGAATAAAAGAGGACTAAAAAGAAGGCTACGCTGGACTTTACCGGTATTCTCTCCTCTATATTGAGCTCGCTGTGAAGGGGAGCTTGTAGTTCCTCTTCCAAACTGCTCTGCAACTTTCCCAAAAGAGGAGAAGACCGGGAAGACTGTCTGGAAGAGAGCCTCAGATCTGTACAGCTGTCGGTTCCGGAATCGGTCCCTTGGTTGAAATGATCTGGGGAAAGATCTCGCCAATGGTCCCTCCTAATTTGACCGGCACGAAAGCCGCGGCCGGACGACGCTCCCGTCTTCTCTTCGGGGCCGTCCACTTCTTCTTTGCTCCCGTTGAGTGACGCGGTTTCTCCTTTCAGGAGCTCGGCCACTCGTCGGCTCCTGATCAGGGGATCCGAACGGCTCCCCGGGCTCATGCTTTCCTCGTCGCTGGAGACCGTAAAGACGGGAACGGCTTTGTAACGTCGGCTGAGGGAGTCCTCCTTACTCACCGCCGCCGATGGGATCCGAGAGACTGTCGGAGCATCGCCGCGGACCTCGGCGCGCTTAGGCGGGTCCTTCGCTCCGGTTTCGTTGCCGATTTCCGTCCGCGAAATTTCTCTGCTCAGGGCACTCACCGAGGTCTCCGACTGAGACCTGGTAAACGGTAACGCCCGCAGAGGCTCGTTCTCGGAGGTGTGAAGATTGATCAGGGAGCTGGGCCCGTAAAAAGAGGCAGCCTTGAGGTCAGCTAGACGTTGCTGCTTCAGCAGGAGGCAGTTTAAGGAATCGGCAATAGCGTCGTAGGCCTTCCGCCGGGGAGAAACACCACCTGGACCGGGGACCGCCGACACTTCGGGCAATTCCTCCGCTGAACAGCTCAGGTTCCACGCTCCCACCTTCTCCATAAAATTCAGAGAGGGCATGGACTGAATCCGGCCTTTCAGAGGCTGCAGGACGGCAGGACCAGCGTCGTGCGATGGAAAACTCTCGTTTGTGGGAAAGAGGCGGGGGTTTCCCGCGGTGGCAGCCCCAGGCTCTGCCGCCGAAGAATTGCGCGCATCAGCCTGCGAGGTGTTTGACATCTCTTCGTGCAAGCAAGCAAGAGGAGGCTGGAGTCCTGAGCGGGCCGGCAAGGCCAGGTCGGGCCCTTCGCGGTTTAAGCTTCTGCTGGTCAAAAAAGCCGGGGTGGAATGGTGAATCGGTTGAGTCAGATGTACAAGGAAGGACGCTTCGTCAAACGGCGAGATTCCCGTATTCCTGGTCTCTTTCTCTACACTCCCGTCGGAGAGTGTGAGTTCAGTTTTGTTCACGCTCGTCAGGACGGTCTTCAAGGCGTCCGTCGGCTGGCCGAGCCTTGAGGCCACGGGGATTGGCTGGAAGGGCACAGAAGTCTGAGGTTTGCCATCAACTGGAACTGGCACAAATTTTCGTTTTTCTTCCGCGGCTCCGCTTGGACATTTCTCCCGCACGCGCTGGCAATTTGGCCCCGGAGATGTCTCGGGCGACTCAACCAAACCAAACGTAGGAGCCCTGGAGGACACCAAGGGTGGAGACAAGTTCACTGAGAAAGCTTCCGGATCGCTAGCGCGTCTCCGGGGCTGTCCTGTCGCCTCCGAAAGCAGCTGGGGTGACTCGGGCCGAGAGGCGGTTGGGCCTTCCGACGGGCGCAGCTCGGGCGTCAATTTGGGCATGCTTTCCGTCAGATCCGCGTTCGTCGTTAAACGGTTAACGAGGTTTTCAGCCGGTTCTTTTCCCAAGCCACTTTGACAAGAAGAGCTTCTGGAAGATAAGAAGCCACCATGCTTGGATAAGCCCATCTCATCCTCCAGTAAGTCCAGAAGGACGGGAGCGGGCAGGCTGTTGTCCAACAGGAACAAATCCTGGCCAGGCGCAGCTCCCCAACTTTGCTTTGGAAGAGGCGGTGTGGCCAGGGGTCGGTTTGGCCACGCGGCTGGACACGGCGTCCCTGAATTCTCTTCTTTGGAGCCCAGGGTTGTAAAATTTAGGTCAAGGTGAAGCATTGGCCAGTTCGGTTGCTCCGCCGGTAGGTGTTCGGAAAAAGTCAGAGGGTGTTGCGACAAATAGCTGCCCAGGCTGGCGTCGTTGGGCGCCGTGAGGCTGAAAGGCAGAGGATGCTGGGAGAGAGAGGCGTCCCTGGAGGATTCTGGGCCAACTTCCCGGGCTGCCCATCGCACGGCTTCGCCGATCTGCAAATGTGCCAAAGGTGCGGCTGAAACATCTGGAGTGGCTCTGAAACGAAAGGAGGAAGACGATCCTGTGTTAGTCAGACAAATCAAACGGAATCGTTCCTGGGCCCCAAGACTCTACGCCAGGGGTTCTCAACCTGTGGGTCGGGACCCCATTTGGGGTCGAACGACCATTTCACGGGGGTCGCCAAACAACGCAGTCCGCCCTTTCCCCCCCCCTTTTCCTTAGCTGTGCTTCTCCCTTTTATTCTATTGGCTTTTGAAAGCCAATAGAAGAGACTCTCTTGAATAGAGTCTAATTCTATTGGCTTTCAAAAGCCAATAGGAATTGTCCAGGCTGTCTCTGCCCTGCTGAGCCCGCCAAAAGTCCCCTTCTGCAAACGGTGCTGCACCAGTTGAGTAGTTCTCGACTTACGACCGGTTGAGTAGTCCTCGACTTACAACCGGTTGGGGGTCGCGGCATTAAAAAGGTTGAGAACCACTGCTCTACGCCATTTAGGTTGAGGGGTCCTAGGTGCTCTCTGAGCTGGGTGGTTTCCTTGCAGACATTTCATGACCCAACTAGGGAACATCATCAGTGCTTAGAAGGGAGGGAGGAAGGAGGGAGGGAGGAGGAGGAAGAGGAGGAGAACTGTGGAGTCCTTGGCGATCTCTGGACTTCGTTTTTTTGCAGATGTTTCATGATCCAACTAGGGAACATCATCAGTACTACAAGAGAATGGGGTTTGCGAGGAGGAGGAGAAAGGGGGAGGAGGACTGTGGGATCCTTGATGCTCTCTGAGCTGGGTGGTTTCCTTGCAGATGTTTCATGACCCAACTAGGGAACATCATCAGTGCTAGAAGGGAGGGAGGCAGGGGGAAGAGGAGGAGGAGGACTGTGGGGTCCTTGGTGATCTCTGGACTTCATTTTCTTGCAGACATTTCATGACCCAACTAGGGAACATCATCAGTGCTATAGGGGAATGGGTTTGCCAGGAGGAGGGGGAGGAGGAAGAGGGGGAGGAGGAGGACTGTGGGGTCCTTGGTGCTCTCTGAGTTGGGTGGTTTCCTTGCAGACATTTCATGACCCAACTAGGGAACATCATCAGTGCTAGAAGGGAGTGTGAGAGGAGGAGGAGGAGGAGGAAGAGGAGAACTGTGAGGCCCTTGGTGATCTCTGGACTTCGTCTTCTTGCAGACGTTTCATGACCCAACTAGGGAACATCATCAGTGCTAGAAAGCAGGTAGCGTTGTTCTCTTTTTATATACAGTGGCTTGCCCTGTCAATATTCTTGATGGTTCCTTAGCGGTTCCCCAAACACTGGCAACCGCTGTATATAAACAGAGAGCAAACCCCACTCCCTTCTAGCCCTGATTATGTTATCTAGTTGGGTCATGAAACGTCTGCAAGAAAACCACTCAGCTCAGAGAGCACCAAGGATCCCATAGTCCTTTTCCTCCTCTGCTTCTCTTCTTCTTCCTCCTCCTCCTCCTCCTCCTCCTCCTCCTCCTCCTCCTCCTCCTCCTCCTCCTCCTCCTCCTCCTCCTCCTCTCTTCAAAACCCACTCCTTCTAGCACTGATGATGTTACCTAGTTGGGTCATGAAACGTCTGCAAGAAAACCACCAAGAGAGCACCAAGGACCCCACAGTCCTCCTCCTCCTCTTCCTCCCCCCCTCCTCCTCCTCCTCTCCACAAACCCCCCCTTCTAGCACTGATGATGTTACCTAGTTGGGTATGAAATGTCTGCAAGGAAACCACCCAGCTCAGAGAGCAACAAGGGCCCCACAGTCCTCCTCCTCTTCCTTCTCCTCCTTTCCTCCTCCTCCTCCTCCTCCTCCTCCTCTTTTCCTCCACTCTGCAAATCCTCCTCCCTTCCAGCACTGACGATGTTCCCCAGCTGGGTCATGAAACGTCTGCAAGGAAGCCATCCAACTCAGAGAGCACCAAGGACCCCCCTCATTTCAACTCCGAGCTACATACAGACTCTTCTATCGTTAAGTCCAACGCGACGGGTTTTTCGTACGCGATCAAGGAAGGATTTAAACTTAGCCAGGATTAAACCAAGTCAGAAAACAAGGGCCTTAAGCAAAAGTATTCAAAAAAGTATTTCAAAATACTTGAAAAGTATTCAGAGACTACAGTTGGTCCAGAATGCAGCCGCGCGAGTGATAGTGGGTGCTCCTCGATACACCCACGTTACACCTATCCTCCGTGAGCTGCACTGGTTGCCTATTGGTCTCCGGGTCCAATTCAGGGTGTTGGTCATTACCTTTAAAGCCCTATATGGCTCAGGGCCAGGTTATTTGCGAGACCGCCTACTACCTCATAGTTCCCTTCGTCCAGTTAGATCCCACAGGCTGGGCCTCCTTCGGGCCCCGTCGGCCAAGCAGTGCCATTTGGCGGGGCCGCGGAGGAGGGCCTTCTCTGTGATGGCGCCCACGTCTTGGAACCAGCTCCCCCCGGAGATTAGGACCGCTCCCACCCTGTTGGTCTTCCGCAAGCTGCTTAAGACCTGGCTTTTCCGGCAGGCCTGGGGTTTATAAAATCTGACCCCTGGATAACTGTTATTGTATTGTTTGTTTGTTAAGTTATGTTGTGTTTTTATTGTAAACCACCCGGAGTCCTGCGGGAATGGGGCGGTCTATAAATTTTAAAAATAAAATAAATAAATAAATAAAATAAATAAATAAGGGGAACACGTGGGAGGCCGAGGCTTACCTCAACGGGGCGAAATCCAATCCGGTTGGCTGAAAGACGGTCTCGTTGTAGAAAGTCTGGCCTTGGGCTGTTGTGTTGGTCGCCAGCAGCGGGAGGTTGGGAGAAAGCTGGCTATCTGCAATCCCTGTGAACGATCACAGACACCGTTGAGCGCAAAATGAAACAGCCCAGCTTGCGAATCAACACAACTCAAGGACAGGTGGTCCTCAACTAACGACGGCTCGCTTAGGGACTATTCAAAATTACGTCCCTGAAAAAGGCGACCTGGGACCCGTTTTTCACCGTGACGACTGTTGCAGCATCCCCAAACTGAGCCCCAAATATGTTGTTGTTGTTTTTTATTATGTAAGTTTTTTAATTCATTTTTTCCATACATACAATAGTAATTTTTCAGCCAACGTGCTGTCTGAGTTTAAATACACTAATGCAGTGGTTCTCAACCTGTGGGTTGGGACCCCATTTGGGGTCGAACGACCATTTCACGGGGGTCGCCAAACAACGCAGTCCGCCATTTTTTCCCCCTTTTCCTTAGCTGTGCTACTCCCTTTTATTCTATTGGATTTTGAAAGCCAATAGAATAGACTCTCTTGAATAGAGTCTAATTCTATTGGCTTTCAAAAGCCAATAGGAATTGTCCAGGCTGTCTCTGCCCTGCTGAGCCCGCCAAAAGCCCCACTCTGCAAACGGTGCTGCACCAGTTGAGTAGTCCTCGACTTACGACCGGTTGAGTAGTCCTCGACTTACGACCGGTTGGGGGGTCGCGGCATTAAAAAGGTTGAGAACCACTGCACTAATGTATATTTCATTCCTAATCCTTTCTTCTTTCCTCTAACCATCGGTAAAATCAGTCCCAAGTTTGATAATATTCTGTTTTTTTCTTTTTCTCTCAGTCTCATAGTCTGTCTGTCCATCTCTCCGCATTCTAGTATTTTTTTAAATTATTTCTTCGTTTTTAAGGAGAGATTGAACAACAACATAATAATAATAACAACAACAACAACAACAATAAAGTTGGAAGGGACCTTGGAGGTCATCTAGTTCAACCCCCTGCTCAGGCAGGAAACTCTACACCAGTGGTTCTCAACCTGTGGGTTGGGACCCCATTTGGGGTCGAACGACCATTTCACGGGGGTCGCCAAACAACGCAGTCCGCCATTTTCCCCCCTTTTCCTTAGCTGTGCTACTATTGGCCCAATTTCTCTTGGCTAATAAATAGGCTGTCCAGTCCTCTTGCTTAAAAACTTCCCAGTGTTGGTTAGCATTACACCGCTTCTGGAGGCAGGTGGTTCCACTGGTTAATTGTTCTAACTGTCAGGAAGTTTCTCTTTAGTTCTAGGTTGCTTCTCTCCTTGATTGTAGAGGGTCTCCTGCTTAAGATGGGGGTTGGACTAGAAGACCTTTAAGGTCCCCTCCAACTCTATTACTCTGTTATTCTGAGAAGAGGCTGAGCTGTAAGATTGGTTCAAACCTGTCATCTATTTAGAGTCACTGCCTTGTCACAAAGACCTATGTCCTGAATTCTTTTTTTTTATTCACTTTTTCCATACATACAATAGTAATTTTTCAACCAACGTGCTGTCTGAGTTTACATGCTAATACATATTGAATTCCTAATTCTTTCTTCTTTCCGCCAGCCAATGGTAAGATAAATTCCAGATTTGATAATAGCCCATTTCTTCTTTTTCTTTCAGGCTCACAGTCAATCTGTCCATCTCTGCGCATTCTAGTAGTTTTTTTTTAAATTATTTCTCCCTCTGATGGTACTCCTTCCATTTTGCCAGCGTTGCGCAAATATAACTCTTGCTGCTGTTGTGACGTGCAAAGTCAAGTATAAGCTTTGTTTGTTAGTCTTTTCTGGGGTTATAGCTCATAGAAAAAAAAGTTCAGGTTTAAAATCTCCGTGGTTAAGTGGGGACGTGCGTTAAGGGGGTTTTGCCCCGGTTTACGACCTTTCCTGCCGCCGTCATTAAACGAATCACTGCAGGTGCTCGGTTAGGAACACGGTTGTTAAGTGAATCGGCCTTGCCCCCGTTGACTTCGCCAGTCAGAAGACTGCAAAAGGGGAACCACATGACCCCCCCCGGGGGACGCTGCGACCGTCGTAAGTACAGGTCAGTGGCCAAGCATCAGAATCTTGATCACATGGCCCTGGGGAGGCTGCAGTGGTTCTAAGATTGGAAAATGGTCCTCAGTGACTTTTTTTCAGGGTAAGTTCGACCGGTCACTAAACAAAATGTTAAGTCGACGCAACCTGTACTACGTAGCCCAGGTGGGAATGACCACTGAAACCGTCAAATGATCGCAACTGTCAATCCTATTGAAACGCGATGCGAAAGACAAACTGAGGCAGAAGCTTCTGGACGAAGTTGGAATGCAAAGCATCAGGACCGTAGGCGGTATATCGGTTCCAGGGTCTCCTTAAAAAAATTACAAAAAAAAAACCCCTCTAAAATGTGTGTTATAGAATCCCAATTTACTGCAACTCCCTTAATCATGCTTTGGAAGGTTTTTTTTTTTTTTTTTGCATATGTTAGCTTACAACCTTCGGGGTCTGGAGCACAATCTTATTTATCTCTTTTAATTCTTCAGCTAGCCAGCCGAATCTTGGTGGGCACGACGACTAAATAAAAAAATAAAATAAAATAAAATAAGCCCACCGGCTCCAAAAGGTCACGCTGGAGCTTTCCTGTGCCCGGTGTGTGTGTGTGTGTGTGTGTGTCTTCTCAGCTGTTGCTCTTTCTCAAGCAGGTCGTTTTTTGATATTTCACCAAATCCCTGAGGGTCCAAGATAATCCAAGCTTGGCTTTCTTGAAGCGTAAAAGGATGTCTTTCAAAGGGAATCTGTCAGCAGCTGGCAGTCCAGTTTCTGAAACCTGGGCCACTTTCAGATGTATGGACTTCAATTCCCAGAATTCTCCAGCCAGCCATGCTATGCTACTGTAGTCTATTCTCTATATTCTATTTTATTCTTTTTCTACATGCCACATTTTCCATTCTATTCTATTCTATTCTAGTCTATTCTAGTCTAGTCTATTCCATTCCTTATTCTATTCTATTCCTTATTCTATTCTGTTCCTTATTCTATTTTATTCTATCCTATTCCTTATTCTATTCTATTCCATTCCACTCTATTCTACTATACTCGCCTCCAGAAGTTGTGAATGCTCCAAAACTGGAGGTTTTTAAGAAAAGATTGGACAACCATTTGTCTGAAATGGTCTAGGATTTCCTCCCTGAGCAGGGGGTTGGACTAGATGACCTCCAAGGTCCCTTCCAACTCCTATTCTATTCTATTCTATTCTTAATTCTATTCTATTTCATTCTATTCTTAGTTCTATTTCTATTCTCCATTTCTTTCTATTCTATTCTATTCTATCCTATCCCTTATTCTATTCTATTCTATTCTTAAATTCTATTCTATTCTATTCTTAATTCTATTCTATTCTGAATTCTATTCTATTCTATTTCATTCTATTCTTAGTTCTATTTCTATTCTCCATTCTATTCTATTCTATTCTATTCTATTCTATTCTATATTCTATTCTATTCTTAATACTATTCCATTCTATTCTATCCCTTATTCTATTCTATCATTCCATTCTATTCTATTCTATTCTGTTCTGTTCCGTTCTATTCTATTATCATTATTCTATTCTATTCTATTCTATTCTATCCATCTTTGCTTTGTCTTTAGTTTGGCCCATGCTACAAACATCGGCAGAGTTATCCCTTCTGCTAAAATGCCGCCCCCCCCCCCTTCCCGTTTGCCATTGCACAAACGTCTGCCACGAGAAGAAACGGCCTATCTGTTCTTGATGCCCGGTCTCACTGATTATTAACAGTCATCATTAATTTATCACGAAGCAGGTCTCCCCATTATTATTTCGCTTTTGATGAGGCATCTTCCTTCCCAGATCAGGGCAAACCTCTGACTCTGCAAAGCATTTGTTAAAGTACTCCGTGACATTCTGATTAAAAAAACTAATTAAGTTTGGGCCGGCTGAGACATCGGCGACGTGCCTCGGTGGCTGGCGTGCAGCCGTCCTCAAAGAGTGCTCATCAGGGACGGCGGGCTGTCGGCTGGACAGGTAGTCCTCGACTTACGAGCACAACTGGGATCAGAATTTCCAGGGCTGAGCAAGACGGCTGTAAAGTGAGCCCTGCCCAATTTTACGACCTTTTTTTTTTTTGCAACGGCCGTTAAGCAAATCACCGCAGTTGTTCAAGAGGATCGCGCCGTCGTTAAGCGAACCTGGCTTCCCCCGGAGTGACTTGGCTTGTGGAAGCCGGCGGGGAAGGTGGCTAATGGCCGTCCCGTGAGCCCATGAGACCGCAAGCGTCGTAAATACAGGCGGTCCTCGACTTATAGCCACGATTGACCAGCCCCAAATTTATGCTGCTAAGTGAGAAATGCAAAGGTCGTAAGTGTGAAGAAAGGATCGTATTCCCTTTTTTCAGCGCCGTTGTAACTTCGAGCGGTTGCTAAACGGATGGCTGTAAGTCAAGGACTACTGGAGCTACTTCTCTGAAATGGTATATAGGTTCTCCTGCTTGAGCAGGGGCTGGACTAGAAGACCTCCAAGGTCCCATCCACCTCTATTCTATTCTATTCTATTCTATTCTATTCTATTCTATTCTATTCTATTCTATTCTTTTCTGTTCTGTTCTATTCTATTCTTATTTCTATTTCTATTCTTCATTTCTATTCTATTCTTTTCTATTCTATTCTATAATCTATTCTATACTTATTTCTACTTCTATTCTATTCTAATTTATATTTCTATTCTTCATTTCTATTCTATTCTATAATCTATTCTATTCAATAATCTATTCTATTCTATAATCTATTCTTATTTCTATTTCTATACTTCATTTCTATTCTATCCTATAATCTGTTCTATTTTATAATCTATTTTATTCTCTATTCTATTCTAATTTCTATTTCTATTCTATTCTTATTTCTATTTCTATTCATTTCTATTCTATTCTATTCTATTCTATTCTACTCTACTCTATTCTATATTCTATTCCTATTCTATTCTATTCTTATTTCTATTCTTCATTGCTATTGTATTCTATATTTCTATTGTATTCTATATTTCTATTCTATTCTATATTTCTATT